CCATCACAGACATCTACACCTCCAGATGCAGGAAGAGGGCCACCTGCATCATGAAGGACCCCACTCACCCAGCACACACACTTTTTGCCCCACTCCCCTCAGGAAGGAGGTTGAGGAGCATTAAGTGTAGAACCACTAGACTGAGGAACAGCTTCTACCCTGAGGCTGTTAGACTCATGAATCTCTAACTAGAATAATCACTGTGAAAAACCATATCATGTTGCTGCTGATCTGTTTCATGTTGCTGCTGATCTGTTTCAATGTTGATGTGTTCATGCGTGCACATCTGCTCACAGACTCATGTTCATGTTTGTGCTGATGTTCAATGTTTTATGTTATGAGTGCTTAGTGTATATTTAGTTGATGTTTTTCTTAGTTCATATCTTAGATGTTATTACTGTTTTTCTTATACATTTTATTGTTGGATGTAACTGGGACCCTGCGTACATAATTTCGCTCCACCACATGTACCACATGAGGTGCGAATGACAATAAAGAAACTCTGACTCTGACTCTGACATTTGTTTTATTACCTTTACGGGGACTTTGCATTGACGTCCATTCATTTTTCATTCATTTCTATAGCCTAAACCGGACTTTTACCCTAAACCTAACACATCCTCAATTCACACCTTAGTCCTAAACCTAACCTCCAACCCACCAACGGCACTTCTTCTTATCTTGTGGGGCCCGGGCTTTGGGCCCCATAAGGAGCAGTTGGTCCTCACAATGTAGTATAAGTTGGAAAAATGGGCCTTACAAAGTAACATAAACAAAGACACACACACACACACACACACACACACATATATATATATATATATATATATATGTATGTATATGTATATATATATATATATATATATATATATATATATATATATAAAAAACACCATGGCAGCCATCTTGGATTTTGAAGTGTTATACCAATTTTTGATAGAGATGTTTTTTCCACCTTGATGAAGCCACACAGAAAAATGGAAGTTGACATGTTGCTTATTTCTGAAGTTATTAAACTCACAAGCTTTACATATTTACATTTATGGAGGCTGCCATCTTGGATTTTGATGGGGCAACCAAACTTTTGATAGTGACTTTTCTTGCACCTACATGCAGTCACATACCAAAATGGAAGTTGGTACCTCACTTATTTTTCAAGTTACCATGCTTACAACATGCACGGACAGAAGGACAGTACTTGCAGCTTTCCCTCTTTGCTCCACAACGAAGAACAACAAGGGTAGTAGCCTGTACAGTTTTCTAACAAACCTTTGATAGCTGATGTCCACATAGCAAGAAAGTATCATTAAAAAAAACTATCAGCGTTGTCGGAGTATGATTTTTTTTTCTTTCCAGTTTGATGAAGAAATAGCATTTAGCAAACTTTAATTCTGGGGGAAACAAACGCTATAGAACTGACAAAACCTAAACTCCCGTGTAACCGTACAAAACCTTGGGAAAAATTGATCACAGTTTATTGTGATGCTGTGCTGTCCTGCTGTGCAACACAGAAACAGATATGACCTTCAAGAACAACTTTCTGCATCGTCACAACAAAAATCCATTGAAGTCTGCTAAAAGACGTCTGAAGAAGGCTGGAGGATCTGGAATACACTTGGCTGGAAACAGAATGTGTTCAACTCACAGCTAAGGAACTGTATAAAGACTGAAGTGATGAACATATTTCTGAAGTTTATCATTTATTTAATCCTAACTGATGCAGTAGATCCTCGTGATTACTGATCAAATAAAAAAATCAAGTCAAAAAGCGTTCTGCTGTGGAGGAAACGACAGATCAGTTTTGTTCTGCATCAAATGAAACAAGTAAAGAGACGCTAATAAACCGTCTTCAGCCCTGCCTGACGGGCTGTTAGAACCTGTTAAGATAGTGGTGAGTCATCATCTTTGAGAAAAAATGTGGTCAGAGGAAAAGATCTCGTGAACTTTTTGACAAATATAACTAGCAGAAAATCAGCAGAACTACCGGCGCCGTTTAACAGAATGAGTCAGAGCGTTTCCACGAGAACTCAAGGTGTTGTGACTAAACAGCCTTAAGAAAGACTTCACAGCGAGGTTAAATAAAAAAAAAAGAATTCAATTTGCTCCAGAGGATAGTCTGGACTCAACGTGAAGAGATCAAATGGTCGAACAAGTCCAGATTTATTCTGATAAATCCATCAAAGAAGACTTTCTTTAGCAACATGAAGTCTTAATAAAAATTGAAAGTGCATTTAGATAAAAACGAATGCTGTGTGAAGTGAATGCTAAAACTTAACCTAACATTTACAGTAATATGAAGTTAAACTAAAAACTGAAAACTTTTATTCAAATATATACATACAGTATATAATATCACGAACAGCTTTGGATAATTTAGATACAGTACTCCCTCGTTTATTGCGGAGGATCCGTACCTTGAAGACCAGCGATAAGTGAAAAACCACAAAGTAGGAATAGTTGTACAAGTAGTAAGTAGTAGTTTATTTTAGTATATATATATATATATATATATATATATATATATATATATATATATATATATATATATATATATATGGAATGTGCAATATAGGGTGAAGTGTTTCAGTGTAAAATGCTGCTCTGTTGCTGTTCATTTCTTAAGTGAGAATACTGGAAATTGTTAAGTTAACAACATGTTCTTTTGTTTAAAACATATTGCTAAAACTACATTTGATATATTTTGCACTGTTTTGCACTACAAGCAAGAAGCCAAATACTGGATTTGTTTATTATTTAAAAACTCTCTGGACCTAGTAGTGGAATTTTTTTTAATTAAAAAAATATGATGGCAAAAGGACACCTTATGCTTTTTTAAAAATTCCTATTAAGTTTTATATCAAACACATATCGTGATATATATCGTTATCACCACCCTTCACAACACATGTAGTGATATGATTTTTATGCCATATCGCACATTCCTAATATATATATATATATATATATATATGTATGTATGTATATATGTTTGTATATAAAGGCATTTTAAACCCTTCCACACTCTTGCAGTATTCTAAATGTTTCTAAACTCTATAAACTCTAAAAAAAAAGCACAGAATGTCATGATTTCAGCCCCCTGCCTCCTCTGCTCTTCGCCACCTGCGAGCGCTCTTGGCCACGCCAACTTCTCCTTGCTGCACACTGAACATCTGATCAGCTGCAGCAGGAAGTTTATCCTGCAGTGTGAGCTGCACAAAGCTGCAGCAGGTGCTAAATCATTTTAAATAATCTATTTTACATAAAAATGCAGATGGTGCGTCTCATCCATCAATCAGCCAATTGTGTGTCATGCCCAATCTTACTTTGAAAAACCGCGATAGAGTCCGTGATAAATGAACCGCAAAGTAGCGAGGGACTACTGTATATAAAAAACTTTTTCAAGGTACATACATCAAATTAAGACAGACTCATTATTTTATTGTTATGGAGAAAAATGGGGGAATTGGAAACACCTTCCTTCAGTTCATGTTGTAAGCACAATAACTTGAAAAATAAGTGAGGTACTGGCTTCCATTTTTGTTGTGTTGCTGCATCTAGGTACAAGGAAGGTCACCCCTGAAAATGATGTTTTCATATCAATAGTATAGTTTCCTCAAATGAGTGGGGTGGCCGAAGATTTATATGTTCTGGTCAAGACCACCATTGGCCACCCCCTGGCTCCACTACTGCTCCTGGTTGTGGATAAAGTTGCTCCCTCCACTCCCCAGTATGCATCACTCCACTCTGCCTCAGACAAGAAAGAAAAATAAACTCCTCCTGTTCCTCACAGTGTAACTCCTACCCTGTTGAATATCATGCAACAAAAACATTAAGGTTTACTTGCATTTTCTGTTCAATTCCAGTCCAGAAAAACACTCATCTCCAAAACTATAAACATTCAGTATTCAAATCCCTCAGATACGGGGCTTGTTCACTAATATAAGCAACAGCTATTATACTCAGATTTGTCCAGAAACACAATCTGATTCAGGGTCATCTGACTCTGAAAGGCCAGACTCTGCACATCCAGACTGCATTACTAACCTTTCAGCTCACAATCACGAGGTCAAGCCGACATTCTGAATCAACATCAGAAAAAGATCGTAACACAGCCATTAGCAGTTTGAAGCATAGATCCGGTTTGTGCCAATTAGACCAGCGGCCTCTCCACTGGTTTGTTGTTCACACGGTTTGTCAGTTTATTATGTAATGGCAAAGGGGCACCATTATATATAAAAGTTTGATTTCACAGTTGGTCCCTCCGCCACCGTGGCTGGGGTTAGTTAGGCCACTGAGGGTGATGGAGGTAACAGACAGGAAGTTATACAGGAAGTATGGAGCACCATTTAGATGAGCAGGAGAGGAGGGCGATGGCTACAAAGAAAGGAGGGGGTGCATTTGCCACACTGACACCTGGTGCTCCAGATGACAGCTCTGCAGCCAGATGGACCTCATTATATGCACACTCATACACAAACATACCCACACGTGCACACTGACATACAAATATACTGTACACACACTCACATTCATGGCTATTCTTCCTCCACATATGCTATTTTATTTGTATCTCTGTCGCAAAAAGCAAGCAGATAAATGACCCGTGGTCAAAGTTGACGGTTCAGATTAAAGAAAACTATCATTTAGAAAAAAAAAAAGTTAGGTCATGGTAACAAGTAGAAGAAGCCCTGTATGGTCATGGTGGGCAGATTAAAAAGACCCTATGGTGCGTGCTTATCCTGGACGTACCCACTTCTCCTCACCACCTGTCATTTCCTTCCACCAAACACCCCCACTCCACTCTTTCTCTTAAAGGGGACAAACATTCAGGTGGTATAGTTGAGCATTTAACTAGGAGACTGACATTTGGATTTTTTCCTTGTCCGATTCAGAATAAATGCATTCAAACACTGTTGGGGATCGTTGGTACCTCTATGAACCAAAATAATTCATACTGTTTCTGTTTAAACTGGCCCACATCCTCACCACCACCCACTTACCTCCAGAGCAGCAGAGGGCTTCTTCTTTAGCTCCTCACATTTGCGAAACTTGCAGATCTGGTGGCCTGTTTTTCTGTTCCGGCAGCTGCTGCACTGCTCGCAGTTAATCCGCCGTCGGCACGGTGGGCACATGCCGCAACGTTTCCGTTTCTTTTTACCGGAGTTGATGGCGGAGGCCAGCTCGCTCTGTGCTGGGTATTCGGCCAGGCCGGCCATGTGAAGTGCGCTGTCCGCCAGAAAGACTCCAGCCGGCGTCATGATGAAAAGCCCCGGGTTGAAGGGGAAGCCGCCCCCTACTCCATATGGGAAGTCCACCGGACCACCTACGGCGTCCGCAACAGACCTACCCTCCAAGTCGTTAGCCCCCGAGCCCATATCTCCACCACCAACTCCTACTCCCATGCCCCCAGGCAGAAGCATGTGCTCCATACCGGCCCGCTTCAACAGAGCCGCTGCCTGGGCAAAGTGCAGCAGGCCATTCTGTCCCTCCAGAACCTGTTCTAAGGTTCGGTCCAACTTGGCTGCCGTAAGTGTGGAGACAGTAGGTTGAGCCGGCGGGGGCGGCTGAGGTTTGGCCAAGTGGCTCTTTGTTGCGGTGCTGTTCGTGTGTCCATTGGTGGTGGCAGAGGAGACGGCTGTGTACTGAGAGAGGGTACGGGAGTTCTTAAGGCTCTTACTGAGGGGCTCGCTAATGATGCCGCTTCGATTCCTGCGCTCAGTGACAGGAGAGTCCGGTTTGCAGCTGCTCCGCTCCAAGTCCTTGGTCTGGCCTCCCTCCAACAGCCCGCTAGACATGGTCCAGAACGTAGGTGCCTGGGTTGGAGGTGAGGGTGGAAAGGGGGCAGGGGTGAGCGAACGTTTCCTCGGTCCGTTCTTTGCTCCTGTGAGAGCGGTGCCTCACCTCAGCAGACCAGCCTGCCGTTGGCAGACAGGCAGCGAAGCCTTCTGCCTCCTGCTACAGCTCAGCCCTCATCCACGTTCTTCCATGGGTTTTCAGGTAACTTCACACAGGGAGAGAAGAGAAGAGATTCATGACACATTAACCATCACCTCTCTGAAACCAAACCAACTCGTTCTTTACCAATTTCTCACTCGCTGCCCAAAGGAACCATTATAAAAACGTATTTACTCAGTGTTTTTGGTCTCCTTTGCTTCAAACAGCCAATCACCAAGTGTGTTTCTCTACAATTTGGTGCTGAGAGTGGCGCACAGATATTTTTAGAGCATTACGTCTAAAAGCTGTCATGCATGGCTGAAAAACCCACGTTATCAGAACGGTGAGAATCGAGCAAAAACGCTGCACATCAGACTGCAGACAAGACACGAGGCCGAATAAAGGTGCAGATTATAAAAGTCATTCCTTTGGGGGTCACAGGTAGACATTTTTACATTGTCACATTGTTTTAATGAGCAGATGACCCTGTCTCTGAGAGGTTTGAATAGTGAATGTTTGTAGTTTTTAAGTTTTTCTGGACTGAAATTGATCAGAGACTGTAAGTAAACCTCAATGTTTTTGGTGCAAGATATTCAAGTGGGTAAGAGTTGCACTGTGGAAAACAGAGGGAGGTTTTTGCTTGACCGAGGCAGCGCAGAGTGACGGATCTTAGAGAGTGGAGGAAGACATTTTATCCAGCAGGTGTAATAGGAGGAGCCAGGGGGTGGCCAATAGTGGCCTTGGCCCTCATAGATTAATCTTCAGCCACCCCAATCATTTAAGGAAACCACTTTTAATCAATCTAAAATCTAGAAAGCAGTTTCCTCAAATTTTCCATATGGAACTTTCTTATGTAAAAATGCAGCCACACAGCTTTAAGGAAGTTGGCATGTTGCTTATTTTTTAATTTGGATGCAGCCGCACACTAAAATGGAAATCGGGACCTCACTTTCCAAGTTATCATGCTCACAACATGCACGGACAAACGGACAGACATATGAACAGACGGAGGGTATTTCCATGTCCCCCTCTTTGCTCCGTGATGAAGGACAAAAATGTACAGAGTCATTAAATTATCTGACTTCATTAACCAAACATCCTGGTCTTGAACAATAATAAAAAAAAAATCAACAGTTAGTATTAAAAACATTGTTTAATATCTGTGACAATTTTAAGTCTGTAATTACTATTTTAAAAGAAACAAATATCTAAGAAGAAATGATTCAGAGATTAAAAACACTGAACAGCTACACCCATATTTGATTAAAATTCAAACACCAGAAAAGCTGCTTTTATTTCACCTTTAATTTTTGTCTTAAATCAGTCAAATCAGTTCCCCCCCCC